GGCACCTTCAGCAGCACATGTTGGTGCCGGGCAGTTTCTCTCATATTTTTTTTTTTTTTTTTTTTTTTTTTTTTGTGTGTGTGTGTGTGTGTGTGTGTGTGGCCAGCTCAGCCCACCAGGGGGCGGGGCTGGCTGGCATGTGGTGCTGGGGGATCGAACCGCGGTCCATGTGCTTTGTTGAGCTTGTTCTAAGTAGGTGCCCTAGACCACTGAGCCATCTCACCAGCCCTCATATTTTTTTGAACATGAGAAAACACATTTTAGTGCTCTTAAGTTATATTAAAAAAATGTTGTGTTTGTCTTTTTGAGACAGGGATTCGCTATGCGGTGCAGGCTGCGTGGCCTCCGGCCCCGCGCAGTCCTCTGCAGCAGGCTGCACCTGCGGAGCTTCGCACACTGGCCCCATCCTCTGAGGCGTCTCAGCCTCCCAAGGATTCCAAAGTCAGAATCAAGCACCCCATGACCCTCCTGGCCCAGCAGAGGGCAAACTGCTCTTATGTCTCTTAGGTAAAATCGGAAAGGCCGTTGGTTCGGGCCAGGTCCCTGCACTGGGCCCGACTGACCAAGCGTCAGTGAAGCTCAAGCTGGCCGAGCCCAAGTCTCTGAGGTCATCTGATCTCCCAGGAAGTCGGGAGAGGGAGCAGGGAGGGCAGAGGAGACCGGCCAGGCCCGGAGGCAGGAGGGAGAGACTGCTTCACCCTCTGCTCCCTGGTTCTGCTTTCTTCAGCCCTTTTCTGTCCATAAAAGAACTTCCCTGCTAAGCTCATCAGGACAAACAGTTTTGCCCAAGCACAGTAAATAGAGCCGGGCGTGGTGCCTATAATCCAAGCACTCTGGGAGGCTGTGGCGGGAGGATTTGTCTCAGGTTTGAGGCCAGCTTGGGTGACATAGTTCAAGGCCAGGCTGAACTACATAGCAAAGCCCTGACACAAGGAAAGAAGGAAAAAAATATGTTCAGTTGAAGGACTCATGAACGACGTTTACTCATCTCTGACCTGAGATTTGGTTCCACTGAGTTCTCTGTGTGTGCAGATTTGAGGCTGCTGGACGTGTGATTTTGAAATCCACCTAGTCCCATGAAAGCGTGAACTAGGGTCGGGGTTCTTGCTGTCTTTTTTCCAGTATTAAACCCTGGACCTTGGACCAGCCAAATAGCTCAGTGGATTAAAGTGCCTGCAAGCAGGCACAGGGGCTGAGGGTTCAATCCCTAGGCCTGCCATGCCACCCCCCCCAAGGTGGGGGGCGACTCAGAGAAAAGACGGGGGGGGGCGCCCGCCTGTAATCCCAGCTCTTGGGAGGCTGTAAACAGGCGGATCCCATCTAGTAGTGAGACCCTGAACACCCTGTAGACCCTTCCCTAAAATACAAAATAAAAACAAACCCAGGACCTTCTGCGTGATAAGGAAGCACTCTACTGCCGAGCCACACCCCCGTCCTTTCTATTTGACTTTGGGAAACTTACCTCAGCAGCCTTTGACCTTGAGCCCTTGTGAGCAGGAAGGATCCCAATCCTGTGACTCGGGTCCAGCCCCGAGTTAGGCATTTTCCAGATGCCTATTTTTTTCCGCACCATCAAGAGCACCGAGTGAAGCTGGGCGTGGTGGCTCGTGCCTGGAGTCCTGGCACCTGGGAAGCGCTGGAGGCCAGCCTTTTCCAGCACCATCGTGAGTGCAGGGCACCTTGGAAGAGACTTTGTGTTACAAAAGCCAACCTAGGGCCGGCCAAGTAGCTCAGTGGATAAAGCTCCTGGGAGCAGGCACAGGGCCTGGTGGTTCAATCCCGGGCCTGCCGTGCTGGCCCCGCCCCCGGGGGCGCTGAGTCGGCAACTGAGACTGGCATGGTGGCGTGTGCTTGTAATCCCAGCTCTTGGGAAGCTGCAAACAGGAGGATCACTATAAGTCCGATCTAGTAGTGAGACCCTGACCATCCTGTAGCTCCTTCCCCAAAAAATACAAAAACAAAACAACAACCAAACAACAACAAAAAACACCCAACACCCAACTCACGTATGAAACCAACCAGACCAAAGGCAGAAGCAAATTCACCCACTGCAGATTTTTCTTTTTCTTTTCCTTTCTTTTTCTAGTCCAGGGGATTGAAGCCAGGTATTTTGAGACAGGATTTCACTAAACTGCCCCCATTGGCTGAGGACTGAAGATCCTCCTGGGCCGGGGGCACTCAGGAGGCTGAGGCAGGAGGACTGCTGCAAGCTTGAGGCAGCCTGAACTGCATGGTGAGACTGTCTCAAATAAAAAAGAAAGAAAACATCCTCCTGTTCCAGTGTCCTGACTAGCTGGGGTTACAGAAATTGGAATGTGTCTTTATACTGTTTAAAAATGTGGTTTTAAAAAAAAAAATCTTTTTTTTTTTTTTGCGGAACCGGGGATTGAACTCAGGCTCTTGTGCTTGCCAGGGAAGCGCATATTCCACTGAGCCATCTCCCCGGCCCCTTGTGAAAAAAAAAAATCTTAATGCTTTTTTTTCCCGGTTGGGCAGGGAGTACCAGGGATCAAACTCAGGACCTTGTGCTTGCCAGGCAGGCACTTATGCCACTGAACTGTCTCGCTGGCCAAAAATGTTTTCAAAATACATTACCCAGAGTGTGTGGGCCGCAGTTCCTGGACAAATTAAACCAATAACCTGGTGGTAGGCCGTGCCCCTGAGCCCTATCCCCAGCCAGGCTGGCTTAAAGCTCACCTTCTCACTATGTGGTGCAGGCATGCCTTGAACTTGCAGTGATCCTCCTGCCTCAGCCTCCTGGGTGCTGCAGTGGCAGGGGTGCAACACCACACCCATCGGGCTCTTGGTTTAATTTTTATTTTACATAGGGTCTCACTGTGCAGTTCAGGCTAGCCATGTGCCCATTTTTGTAGCCCCCAAGCTGGTCTCGAACGAGATCTCCTGGCTCAACCTCCAGCCACCACACCCGGTTCCGGGATACTTCGCAGGGCTCAAACTCGGGGCCTTGTGCTTGTCAGGTAGGTGCCTATGCTTCTCACCTATCTCTCCGGCTCCGGGCTCTGGTTTAGGATGTGCTGTGACCCCATCCCAGGGGAGGTCCTTGGGGATCCTGTGTGCTGAGGGTCCCTCCCGTGCTTCCCCAAAGCCTCCTGCCGCTTTCCCGCCCTTGTTTCACCAGGCAGGGACATGGGTCAGACGGGTACAGAGTCCCACCCTGCCCGCTATTTCTGATCCACGGGATGCAGCGACAGCGGGAGGTGGTGGCCTACTCCTGTGTCCCCAGCACTTGAGGCCTGAGCCCAGCCCAGGCACTTAATGGCTTAGAGATCCTCTCTCAAAAAGTACAAAATAGAGAGCTGGTGTTACAGCCGTGTGAAGACCCTGGGTTTTAATTCACAGTAGTGCAAAAACAAAACACAGTTGTCAGCCAGACTTCACAAGGTGTGCCCGGCAGCTCCGCGAGACACGCGGCAGGCCCGCCACTGCTGCGCTGCGCCCGCACCTTGCTCCACACCTGCGCGGTGATCTGCGGGAATCCTCCGCGCGGCGACTGGGACTGAACGCAGCGTTCGCCCCCAGCAGGTGCCCTGCGCTTTTCCCATCTCTGCTGATTCCTCCGCAGCTACCTTTGAGCCATCCTTTCCTACGTTGCGCAGGCTGGCCTTGAACTTGCAGTGGTCTGTCTGCCTCAGCTTTCCCGGGGCCCAGCCCACTGCTGGCTGCAGGCCCGTGCACTGGCCTCTGCTCGCGTCCCATTGGGCAACACGTGGTTCACTGACCTAGGACAAGTGTTACAGCACCGTACCCCGAGAACTGTAATCACCCGGAGAAATGAAGCACGTTTCTTTTTTTCCAAGACAGTCTCACCGCGTAGCCCAGGGTGGCCTTGAATTCACAGGGATCTTCCTGCTTCAGCGCCCGCAGCGCTGGGGTCACACGGCTGTGCCACCACACCGGGCTATTTCTTATCTTTACTTTCAAGCCATGTTTCAGGGTTACCAAGCCATCTTAATAAGGGAAGGCTCCCTGATGCAGAATGCCAGCCAGTAAATGAGGAACAAAGGATGGAAGTTAAAAAAAAAAATATCATTTTGCAACTCATGAAATAACCGAATCAGGCAAGACACAAGGGTCCGTTGGAGGCTGAGGCTAGAAATGTGAGTCCGGCACTCTGGAGGCTGACGCAGGAGGATCCCTGTGAGTTCCAGGCCAGTCTGGGCTAGTGAGACCCAGGCTCAAAAGAATGAAACAAACAATTTTTCTCCTTCAAAACAGAATCTGAATCCAGCCAAACCTTCAGAGGTTTCACAACTGGAAACAGAAAGGAAGAAGTTAGAGAACACGGAAACAAACTGACACAGACAGCGCACTTTTCCGTGGGACGACTGACTGGTAGCATTCAAAAGGCAGCACCCTGGGAGGCTGCGGCAGGAGAGAGCACTTTTTGTTGTTAATTTTGAGACAGGATCTTCACTACGTAGTTCACACTGGCCTTGAACCCACTGTGTAGCCCAAGGTGGCCTTGAACTTGCAGTGATCCTCCTGCCTCAGCCTCCAGTGCTGGGAACACTGGTGTGGGCCACTGCCATTGTCTGCTTTTATCACTACCGCCTCATGCCGGCGTGGCGTTTCTGTTCCACACGGAGGGAAGCCCTGGCTCTCCCACTCACCCCCTCACCCGGGCTGCCTCATTCTTCTGCATGTCGCTGAGGCACTCCAGGAGCTGAGAGAAGAGGACCGCAACTGAGCCCAGCCTGGGCATACAGTGACCTAGCGAGACTGTCTCAAAATAAAAAAAAAATAAAGAGGCGGGGATGTAGCTCAGTAGGAAGGCCCCAAGTTCAATACCCAGTCTCGAGAGAGGAAAAAAATCTAGGTGTTTTTGTTTTTCCATTTTTTGCAAGAGAGGGAATGTCAACAGGAAAGCGGGCTTGGGCTGCTGAACTGAGGCTTTTCCAAGCTACAAGCGCAGCAGCCCCCTCCCAGATCGCCCTCCGTCCCCAAGGAGCACACGACAAAAGCAGACATGAAGAACCGCACAGAGGACACATGTTCATTCTCCTTCATTAAATGTTTTTTGGCGGAACTGGGGATTGAACTCAGGCCCTTGCACTTGCCAGGCAAGCGCTTATTCTACTAGGCCATCTCCCCAGCCCTAAAAACTTTTACGTTATAAACAGTTGATCCATAAATAGCTAAGGAGGGTAGTGTGTCTAGGTCCTTACCCCGCAGCCAAGCATCCTGCTCCGGGCTGGCTCTCACCAACCTGACCCAAAGCCGTCATCTCACAACACCCAGAGGAAGCCGAGGCTTCCTGAGGTCCCTGAGTTCACGGTTATGCAGCCAACCAGACCCAGCCAGCCCTGCCTGGGGAAGAGCTGGTTCTTGTCGTGGGAGGCACCACGCTTGGGACCAGACCCAGTGAGGAGGCCTGAAGTCCTCAGGCAAGGGTGGCGCCTCTGGTGTGGGACAGAAAAGTGTTCTTTTCATCCTAACGGAATAATTTCTCTGGCAAAGAACTTGATTTTGCAGAGTCCAAAGGAAGATGGCGCTGGCTCTTAGGTATCCGCCGCGGACCCCAAGGCTATGGTCTGGCAGGCGGAGCTGAGCCCTCTTGCCCCGGCTCAGAGCGTGCCGTACACACTGATTTTGACCATGGAGATGCTCTCTGTGTAGCGGCTCAGGCCTTTCTCATACAGGACATAGAGCTGTGGCGCCTCATTCTCCCCGCCCTGGCTGCTCTCCAGAGCTGTCAGGGATGAGTAGCCGCTGGGCCCCGGCCATAGCTGGACCTTCTCTTTCTGCCATGAGGTGCCATTGCTGAAGCTCCAGCGCAGGGTCAGGTTCACTCCTGGGGAGACAGACAGGGTCAGGGTGGGGAGGGTCTCTGTCCTGCCTAGGCAGTGGCCAGTCGCAGGGGCTGTCCGCGAGACCCTCGGGCACTCACGGGACTCCGGGTGGGCTGGATTAGAGAAGAAGATAATCCCAGAGCTGGTGGCTACAGCTCCTGCGGCTACCACAGGGTCTACAAGCTCGTTGTCAAAGGTCACATCCCGGGGCCTCAGAGTGTCACAGGCATCATAGCTGCGGAGGATGATCCGGCAGTGGCAGTGGTAGTTGTTCTGGTTCCGGGCATTGATAACGACCGAGCCATCTGGGAGCTCATAGGGCTGAGGGGAGAGAACAGAGGCTCAAGTGGACAAAGAGGGGCAGGTAACGGTCCTTGTCCCTGAAGGTGGCAATCTGGAGGGCGGGGGGGGGGGATAGAGGGTGGGAAATGCTCTAGACTCCTCACCTGGCACTCGTCAGGGTTGAAGTCGTTTTGCAGCTTGGGCTGGCCATAGGGGATGCCGCTGATCCCGCTCCCATAGTGCCAGGTGTCACCATGGTCATCGCTGAGGAGACAGAAGACCCCGTCCCGCTCCAGCGTCCCATGGCCACACACAATGAGCCGGCCCTTCTTTGGCTCCCACTTTTTCTGTGGGAGAGGGAGCTGAGTGTCACACAGGATGCTGTGGGGGCCCAGAGGCTCGGAGCCCCCCTCCTCCCCAGCATGAGCACCCATCTGAGCCTCTTTAGTTTTTTTTGGTGGTTGAACTCAAGGCCTTTGTCCTGAGCCCAAGCCATTTTTAATTTTTTGAGACAGACTCCAAATTGCTCAGGTTGTGCTTGAACCTGTCATCCGCCTGCCTCAGCCTCCCAGCATACTGGGATCAGGTCTGTCTTGTACTGAGGTCTCAGAAGACCCTCCCCTCCCCCGAGACCACCTGAATTAAGCTTTTTTAGAAGACATGCATTGGTACACTGAAGGTGCTCTGCTAGATGTGTACCCGGCCACAGGATCTTAAAGCCTTTAATCTGAGTTCACCAACCCCACGTATGCAGGCACACAGGCTCAAGTCTGCCCAAAGAAAGGGGTTCCTCTCCTACTCTGCATAAAGGTACCACACAGTCTCCAGTGACATCCTGCTGACAAATCCCACCAGGAAGCAGCAAAGTTCCACCTCCCCCTGGTTTGATGTTCTTCCCAGGAGACCCCTTTCTTCCAAGGATCCCACCCCAAACAGAAAAGCTGAATCCCAGGATCTTCCCTCTTCCAGGCACAGCCCCGACTCACGACAACCCTTCTGCCCATCACCTCCCAGCCAGACCTGAATGCCGGAGCCTGGTCCAGGAGCAAACATCTCTGTGCCGATATCCACGGAGAGGTTTCGGGGTGGACTCCAGGAAATGCCGTCATCCTTGCTCCACACCAACATGGTGGAGGCCACCGGGCAGTGGAACTTGTGGGCACAGAGCGTGTAGAAGAGAAACACGACTCCTGTCTCTGAATCGCTCACCACTGCCCCCAGGTTCAGTCCGTCAGAGGCCTCCCCGTCATCAAGGATGAATACTGTGGAGGACCAGGTGCTGCCTGGGAGAAAGAAACAGGGCAGAGATGCAGAGCGAGCTCCCTAGAGTACGCTTTCTCGTGCTTCTTGTTAACTTCCGCCTCTCCTTAGGGACTCAAGGCCCCACTGTGGCGCCAGGGCCCCAGCTGCCCTGCCCCTCCTTCCCTCCGACCTCCCCGCTAGTAATCCTGGCTGCTCCACCTGGCAGCGCACTCTCCCCACTCCTGGCGGCACCCTTCGCCAGGGCTTTGCACAGCCTTGCTACCAGCGCGTCTACCCAATGCCACCTATGTATGTGTTTGATTTTTTTCTTTTTGAGACAAAGTTGCGCTATGCAGTTCAGTTCAGGCTGGTCTTGAACTTGCAGCAATCTTCCTGCCTGCCTTGGCCTCTTAAGCACTGGGATTACGGGCATGTATCACCATGCCGGGCTCTTGTCACCTAATTAGAGTTATAACCAAACACTAGCACACCCCACACCTCTTACTCTGTTTTATTTTCTCCATTGTTTCATCATCTTCTCCCGCATAAAAGAAAACCAAAACAAAAAAAAAAAATTAATTATGCTTACTGTCTATCTTCCACCAAAACAGTGCAAATTCCATGTGGGAAGGGATTTGGCAGGTTTTGTCAGGGCCGTACAGATCTTCCTCATGTAAAGACTAACAAACTCGTTAATGACTGTTCAGACTTGCCGCCAGGCACCTGGGGCCTGGGACCCTCATTCAGACCTCCACACAGGAACCTGAGTGGCAGTGCAGCCTTGCGGCGAAATCTTCTACAGCCGGGTACTGTAACTGTGCAGTACTGGGGTTCTGTCCTGCTGCAGGTTACAGCTGCATGGAGGAGTCATGCAGGTAACGGCCAAGTCATCAACTTGGGGTTTCCTTTGACCATCTTCTCCTTCTGAATATGTACCGTGTGTTCTATACACAATTCCTCATTTAGCGACCAGTGCAGCCCACGACCAAATGAAAGGACCCTAACTCAACAGTTAAACCACAAACCACTATTCACAGAACAGAATAATGCCCGTTCTGCAGCAGGCGCTTAGCAAATATTCGCTGAGGATGGGAGCGGGGCTGCAGCTTAGAGGCTGAGCGCTTGCCTAGCAAGCAAAGGCCTGGGCTCATCCCCAGTACTACCAAAAAGAAAAAAAAAAAAGGTTGTCTAATGACTATTCGGAGGGGCCGGGGAGTTAGCTCAGTAGAATAAGCATTTGCCTGGCAGGGCCTGAGTTCAATCCCCGGTTCCACAAAAAAAAAAAAAAAAAAAGAAAGAAAAAAGAAAAACCAACCCACAAAAACCTGAATGCCACATTCTCTGTTTCACTCCAAGGGCCTCAGCTCTCTGGGTTCCCCTGGGGGTCTCTCGGGCCCTCGGGCCTGTGAGGATCCCCGCAGCAGACCTGGACTCTCTCAAGCCCGGAGTCTTTGTACCCTGGTCCGTGGACCGCCGCAGGGCGATGAACTTGGCGCCCTCGTCGGACGCAGACAGCTTCCTGGCCTCGGCGAAGGCCAGCAGGGTGCCCCGCGGGGTGGCCGTGATGAGCGGGATGCGGAAGGTGTCCACGGCGCCGATCTGCCGGCCGCTCACCCACAGCAGCTGCTCCAGGGTCACCAGCGGCTGCACCTGCGCGGGGCAGCGAGCGGGAGCGGATGTGACTGTTCGCGCCGGGTGGCGGCTCCAACCCCGGCTGCGCGGCTCGCGGGGGCGGCTCGTAGCCGGGACCCAGAGGTGCAGGGCCGGCGCGGCGGCAGCCCCGGAGGGTCGGGCGGGCGTGCTTACCTGGCTGAAGGCGTCAGGAGCCCTGGCCTCCGGCCCCGCCAGGGATAAGAGCAGTGGGAAGAACGCGGCCAGTGCTCGGGCCCTCGCGCCTTCGCAGATGCGCGGCATGTCGTTCTGCAGAGCCTGCCCGTCGCACAGGACCGGGTCGCGGCTCACACGTTCCCGCTGCAGAGGTGACCGCCTGGGGCCGGTCAGCTGACCCGGCTCTTTAAGCAGCTCCGAAGTCGCCTCCAAGCCCTCCCAACGCGGACAGCGCCCCCCCCGCCGCACTTCCGCGACTCTGATTGGTCCTCCCGAGTGAGAACCTCCCCCGCCCACTCGAAACTTCTCGGAGTCTGCCCTTCTGATTGGGCTTTCTGTGAAGCTTCGGAACTCGTGACCCGAATGGCAAAAGTCTATTGGTGAAAGGTCGTGGGCAAGGCGGGCTCATTACAGATGAACCTTTCTATTGGTTGCGACATCTGGGGGCGCGTCATGGGGCGGGACCGATTTTAAGGAGGTTTTGAGCGGTGTAGCGGGAAAGGAATACAAGCTCGTCAAGACCATAAAAAAGATGGATAGAGAGCCGGCGAGATAGCTCAGCGGACTAAGCGCTTTTTAGGCAAAGCGGGTTTCGATCCCTGGCATCGCTATGCCGTGCCGCGCTGAACCGGTGATGGAATCCGGGCGTGGGGGAGCACGCCTGAAACCCCAGCACTAGGGAGGCAGAAAGCAGGAGGCTCACTAGGAGGTGGAACTGCAGTGCAGCAAAACACGGACATACTGAGAAGACAAAATTCGCAGTTTTTAATTTTTATTAAAATGACTGAATTTGAGATCTGTACGACAAAGTGTGCCTGGGCTGGCGCGGGCCTCGGCTCACTTCTTCCTCTTCTTGTCGGCCGCGGGCGCCTGGTTCTTCTTGCCCAGGATCTTCAGCAGGTTCTTGGACATGTAGTAGGGCCGGTCCTGCGAGCCGTCGTTGCGCTCCAGGTCTTCCACTGAGTCGCAGAGAGGCCAGTTAGCGGGATGGCGTGGCCGAGTTTCAGGGGTGACCGTGAGGACCAGCGGGAGAGGCCGGGGGGCGCGGCGCGGCTGGGCGAGGGGCCGAGGCTGGGCTCGCGCCGCGCCCGAACCGAACCGCGAGGCGGGCGGCGCCCTGCGAGCGCGCGCTCTCCCCAAGGCCACCGGGCGTGGATCGCTCGCCTGTTCCCCAGCCCGGGTCGCGCGAGCCCGCCCTCTGGCTGCCTCCCTCGCAGCGACCCAGGGAGGCTTCGCGAGCGCAGGGACACTCACGGAAGCACAGGAAGAGCGTGTCCACGCACATGCCGAACACGCTGAAGAAGCCGCTGGCGATGACGTACGCCCCTGCGATGCTCGTCTGCAAGAGAGAGATGCTGGAACCGCTGAGATCCCGGGGGGAGGGGGGAGGGGAGGGGGAGGGGACACGCTCACCATGATGGGAAGCCAGTAATAGTTGAGCTCGGGATTCTCGAAGACCTTACCCAGCCCCTTGATGCGACCGGAGAAGAAGAAGAAGGCCAGGACCCCTGCGGGAGAGCTGGTCAGCGCCGCAGCATCCCTCCCCTCCGACCCAAAGGCCCTCTTGCCCCTTACCCACGCCTCCGACCACCAGCAGCTTCCCGAAGAACAGCAGCAGGTCTGTGACTTTATCCAGGACCACTACCCTGTTCCAGAAGTTGGGATAAGTTGAGGGTTCGATGCGTAGAAGCACTGGGAGCAGAACTGGCTCCCTGATTCGCAGGGACAGCGGGGTGGGCATTGCAGGTCCATTGTCCCGGCACTTAGGGAGACTGAGGCAGGAGGATCACAAGTGTGATCCTTGATAATTTAGCGACAAATGAGATCCATCTCAACATTTAAAAGGGCTGGAAATGTCAGTGCAAAGGCCCTGGGTTGGATCCTCAGAAACAACAAAAATATATAAACAAATATTTGCCAGGGACAGGTTTGAAGGGCAAATTCTTCACATTTCAGGACAGTGACAGCGAAGCATTATGGCATACACAGGGACCCTCCGTGCGTGCGGGCTCAGGAGGGTGCTGCCGGAGCTGCGGGTGCCTCACCTCAGCACGTTCCGCATGAGCAGCAGAAAGGCATTTTTGGCCGAGACGCAGAAGTTCTTCCCATAGATGGCGATCTGGAGGCAAAGCCAGAGTCACCGGGCTGAGCCCACCTGGGGCCCCAGGCCCAGGTACCGAGCCGCAGGGCACTGGCGCGCAGCAACTCACCATGATGTATGCATTGCGGTTCAGGAACTTGATGAATTTCTCCAGGCACCAGAGGCAGCACTTGAAGCAGCACATAATGCAGCGAGCCAAGGCGTTCTGGGCTCCTGGGGCACGGGAAGCCAGGCTGGACCCGGGCCTCTGCCTCCCTCGTGGGCCCAGCCCCGCAGCCCGGCCTCACTGCCCCCTCACCTCGCAGTTTGTGGTCAATGTATTCCAAGACCATCCGGGCTATCTGCACAAGGCTCAGGATGAGGGCCCCGAAGGCCAGGGACCCGGTGTGGTAACTGCAGGGGGAGTTAGGTCAGGTGATGAGGTCCCAGGACTCCCGAGTCCCCAAGGCTCACAATCCCAAGGCTGTGGCCCAGGGCTCACCGCAGTGTACGGATGAAGGCTGCGCTCAGTGGGAAGGTGGGGATGTCCCGGGGCTTGTGAAAGGCCCAGTAGAAGGAGGCAAAGGCTCCAGCCAGGACACACTGGCCCAGGGCCAGCACCCAGTTCACAGTCCAGAAGAGCCCCAGGACCCCGTAGATTTGCAGGTTGAACAGGGTCCGCTGTACTCGGCCTGTGGACGAGTAGCCCTGGAAGACGCACATCAGCCCTGGGCAGGAGGAGTTCTTGGGCTGAGCCTGGGACAGCAGGGAGGGTGGAGTAGGCTCAGGCTGGCTTCCAGCGCCACTGGGTGCCAGCCCTCTCCGCGCGGGGGAGCCCCTTCCTTCTGGAGTCTCTCCCACTGGAGCCCAGGGTGGGCTCTCCTGGGTGCATAATCAGTGTCCTTGTCTCTGGACAGCACAAGAGATCCAGCGCTGCCTGGCAGTCTGCTCGTGCGTGAGGGCCATGTGACCCCACAAGGCAGCCCCTGCCACTTCAATCAAAATCCTTTCCAAGCCTGAGGTGGTGCAGGCCTAGAGTCCCAGCACCCAGGAGGCAGAGGCAGGAGGATGGCTATAAGTTCAAAGCCAGCTTGGGCTACAAAGTGAGCTCCAGGCCAGTCTGAACTGCATAGAGACAGACCCATGGCCTTGTGTGTAGCTAGGCAAACACTCTACCACTGAGCTACACCACCAGCCCTGGGTTGTTTTTTTTTTCTCCTCTAGTTACATGCAGTTTATCTGTAATTTTCTTAAAAAAGTTTCTGTTTTATGACAGGGTCTGTCTAAACTGCCCAGGTTGGGTTTGAACCTATGATGTTTGTGCCTCAGCATCCCAGAGTGCTGGGCGATAGGCATGGGTCACCACATGGGCTCCTGGGTGGGGCTGGCTCCTCATGCAGCCTGTTAGGATTTTTAAAAACTGATTAATTAAATTGTAATTTATGTATTTGCTAGAGGATCTCCCTATGCAGCTCAGAATCATAGTGATCCTCCTGCCTCAGCCTCCCCAGTGCTGGGATTACAGGTGTGCACCACCATGCCTGGGTGCTGGCTTGGCGGACCCCTGGTGGGGCCGGCATGGCCTGAGGTACTGGGGATAGAACCCGGATCCTTGCGCTTGCCAGGCAGGCACTCAGACTGCTGAGCTCTCTCCCGGGCCCCACAATTTTTAAGTCACTGTGAAGTCCATCTTGACAGAGCTACATGTGAAATGGTGTGATGTCCTGACGTTGTGCTTTATAGGTCCTGCAAGGGCTGAGGTAAGCTCAGTGCAAGCGCCTGGGTACTTGCTCCCTGCGTGTCGCTCTGTGGTAGACCTTGCCCAGCATGCACAAAGCCTGGTGTTTATACTGCTGAAAACAAACAAAAAATCAAAACACTGTATTGTTATCTACTGTTGTATGTGTTTGAAAATGTCTATAATGAAAACTAAAAATGCACAAATAAAAACTAAGCCAGGCAGCAAATGTGACCCCCCAGCATCTTGAGGATTTCTAAAACTGAGCATATGCTTGACACTTAATTTTTTTTATAGTCTTTTTTTTAATTTTAATTTTTATTTATTTGCGGAACTGGAGATTGAACTCAGGTCCTTGCACTTGTCAGGGAAGTGCTTATTGTACTGAGCCATCTCCCCAGACTCCTTTTTATGGTCTTTTTGAGACAGAGTTTCACTATGCAATTTAGGTTATCTCTGTGTAGCTCAGGCTGGCCTTAAACTCTGAGCAATCTTCTTGCCTCAGCCTCCTGAGCACTGGGATTACATTATTTCTAGAAGGCTGAAGGACCAAAAGGATCAAAAATAGATAAATATAATAAATACATAAATAAATAACAAAGCAAAATGACCCTGCCCCAAGCCTCTTATCAGGTGCCACCCAAGGCACTGAGCACTTTGTGTACCCCAGGTCCTTCAATCTTCTGGGATAATCACCCCACTTACAGAGCCAAGGGCCAAGGCTGACAGGGCATGGATGGTGGTGGCTCAGGTGGAGGAAAGTCCTAGTACCCAGCCCTCAGCCGCCTCACTGACCTGCTCACTGCAGGAGCAGTGGTGGCTTCAGGATGGTGACCTCCCGAGAGCCCCAGCCCTCCCCAGACCCCGGTCGCCTCTGCACAGTGATGGGTCTAGGGCCTCCTTGGTCCTACAGGATCCCCTCCCTCCCAACCCTCACCCCTGCCCGCCTCACCATGGGGTCACATGACTTGTTCACTGGCACTGTCTCACACCCTGGTGTGCTGGCGTTGGACACCCAGTAGATGTACTGGGGTTGCCCGGATGTGGCCAGGTACCCAGAGGGGAGTCAAGGAAAGCAGAGTCACCCTCACCCAGGGACTCCGTGGCCCACCCCTCAGGGACTGCTTCCACCCCCATTCCTGCAGGCTCCGGGAAGGAGTCCTTGGACAAAGGATACAGAGCAGTCATGACCCAGTAAGCAATGCAGATGACCAGGAGGATGAAGGTGACCAGTGGGTAGAACATGGTGGACATCATATGGCCCACGGCCCTGCCGGCAGACAAGGTTGGTACCCAGCGTGCCCCAGCCTCAGCAGTGACACTTGTCCCCTCATGGAGGGCTTGGGGGGACCTCGCCTGCCCTGGCCAGTGCCTATCTTACCCCCGTTGGCAGGGAGCGGCAATTTCATGGTTCCTATCAATCACAGTGCCTGGTATGGTCATGTAGCAAACAAATGGACAGATGAAGGATATGGATGGAATTCACCTGGCTCAAGGGACTCTTGGGGACACTAGTCACACAGGCCACCTGGCCGCTGTTGGGGGAGAAGATCCCCAAGAGTGCTGCTGCTCCCAATGCCTGGACTCCTGGTCTTTGGCCCACAAGCAGCGCTGCCCCTGCCAGCACTCCGGGAGCCGGGCACCAGCTCGCGGTGTCCTCAGTGAGCTCTCTGGGGCAGGCGCTGCTACTGCACTCGCTCTGCGGACGGTCGGGTGGGGAAGCCAGCACTCTGAGGTGCCGTCCGCCAGCAGGCTGTTTAGTTTTGGTTTTTGGTCCTGGGCATTGAACCCAAGGCCTTCAGACTGAGCTACATCCCCATTTCTTTCTCAGTGTTTAATTCTGAGACAGGATCTCACTGAATCACCCAGGCTAGACTGAACTGAGCCCCGCCTCAGCTTCCCAGGGGGCAGGAGTCACAGGTCTCAGGCCTGCGCCACCACACCCACCTGGCTTTTGGGGGTTTTTTGACACAGGGTCTCGCTCTGCAGCTCAGGCTGGATTTGAACTTGCAAGAATCCTCCTGCCTCAGCCTCCCCTGGCCAGGTCCCCTGGCTGTCCTAACTGGGGTGCTACGCTGCCCTTCTCCCCCGGCACCCCTCCCCAGCCTCCTAGACAGGTGCTGACTTGCTGGCCTCTTCCAGGAGGGCCACGGCGATGCGAATCCGCTGCCGCAGGAAGATGAGCAGGAGCAGCAGGACGCCTTCCAGCGCGGCCACTATGATCACTGTGGGGACAGCGGCGCTGAGACCCAGGGCACTGGGGAGGCCCGCGGGGCGGGGGCAGGCAGGGCACTCACGGGCGGCCAGCCAGGTCTCCTTGACGTTCTCATAGGCGCTGAAGTCGGTGGTGAAGCCCACCTGGGCAAGGGAGGGCGCCCCGCTGTCGCGCAGCCGCCGGTACTGCTCCCAGCAGTGGTAGATGCCGTAGGCCAGCACGCCCAGCAGCCCCACGACCAGCACCAGCACCAGCGGCCCGGCCACCAGGCGCAGCAGCAGGATGAAGAGCAGGCTCAGGACCAGGGCCACACCCAGGGTGCTGCAGGGGGCGGCACGGGTGGGGCGGGCGGCCTCAGCCCCGGGCCATTTCACCTTGCCACCTGCTATCCTGTCTAGAACCCCTCTGCCTTCAAAATCCTGCCTGGTTTTGGCCCTGGGGGTTGACCAGGGCCTTTGCCCTGAGCCATAGCCCCATCCCTTTTTAAAAGGTTTTTTTTTTTGTGGGACTGGGGATTGAACTCAGGCCCTTGTACTTGCCAGGTAAGCGCTTATTTTACTGAGCTATCTCCCCAGCCCCCCTTTTTTATTTTTAATTTTAATTTAATTTTTTTTTTCTTAATTTTGAGACAGGATCTTGTTCCATTGCCCAGATTGGGCTTGAATTGTCACCCTCCTGCCTCAGCCTCCCGAGGGCCGGGGCTGTAGGCAATACCACCACGCCTGGCTCTGGGATCTGCCCTGAGCTCCAGCTCCTCCTCCTCCTCCATCTGCAGCCCCTGTTTCAGATCTGGTACTGGGTGGCAGTGGACCAGGGAGGGGAGGAAGGAAGGTGAGTGAAGGGGGGACCAGGTGACTCACATGAGAACCCAGTACCAGGACCGGGCAAAGTCTTCGAAGATCTTCACAGTGATGTCACGGGCATTGAGGCTGTCCACCAGGCCACTGTGGGGAGGCCAAGTCAGTGGGGCCAGGGGTGGGGGCGGGGTGGGCAGAGCTGGGGGTGGTGCTGGCCTACCTGACCGCCTGGGACACGGAGGTATTGTTGATCCCTGGGAACTGGGGCAGTGTGAAGTTCATGTTGGGAGAAGGGAAACAGCGCCCCAGAACTGCGGGGAGAGCGGGCCCCGGGTGGGTGCCTGAGCCCTGCTGCCTGCCAGCCCTGGGGCGTCCTCCTCCCTGACCTCGCCCCTGTGTGCTGCTCCCCACCCCTTCCTCCAGGCTCATCCAGTGCTTGCTCTAGTGCCGCCATCGTCCTGAGCCCCAGAACCACTTATTGCCACCGTGGAAACTTTCCCAGGTGGGACTGTCATCTACACTCCAGAGGTTCCCGACTGAAACTTAGGCCCAGACCTGCCTGCTTGGAGCCCCTGTCCGACATACTTCTGTGTTCTTATGATGAAAACGGAGTGGATTTTTTTCTTACACTATAATTAAAACTGTTTTCTATTTGAAACATTACATGGGGCTGGGGAGATAGCTCAGTAGAATAAGCACTTGCTTGGCAAGCACAAGGGCCTGAGTTCAATACCCGGTTCCACAAAA